CGTGTCTGACAGAGTTAGACTCCAAAGCCCAAAACTCAGCAAGTGGGCCATTAAAACAAAGCACTGGTTAATGCTGCTGTGTCAGTGCATCGTCCCCCATGATGCAGTGAACATGCTCTACCAGCTGTTTTATCTGGGACGATGGACTACAGAAGTGCAAACAGCAATTGAATACTAGACATGCTCAAACACCCACAAGCATTCCAGTACTTATGTACACAGTATATCATGCTAAAAAGAGAGAGAGGTAAAACTGTATAACATGGAGGGTAAAAGAGTGAGCTTCAAAATAGATATTCAGTGCAGACTGTTAAATGAGGAATTGATCAATAAATGTCTGAATAAATTCAAAGGTTTACTAAAACCAGTGGTTGATCGCATTATTCTTTCAAAATTAAAAATAAGAATCCGCTATAAAACTACACATATCCTTGTTTCAAAGTCTGAATCTCAGGTCACGTGGGGTCTCAATGACTTTTTCTTGTGACTGTTCAGCCATTGACTGAGCAGCTAGGTGTGGTATTTGGGATGGTGAACAGCACCTTGCAGCAAGATAGCAACGGTATTGATAGGTGTAACTGTGTATACAAATAACCAATATGACAAATACAGCTATAGAAACTGTGGTAATTTAAGTTTCTAAATCAATTCATGTCCTGCCATCAGACTTCACCTTAAAAAACACAAACTCAAGGGGTGAAGTGTGCCACTAGAACTGAAGTGTTGTCCTTTGTCTCATCGCCCCTTCACAATGCAGAGTGTGCACACACACCGTTACCAAGCCAGCCATGTCTTGACAGAGGAGGAAAAGCTTTCCATTTAGCATCAAAGTCATAACTGCATCACAAAAATGCACTGTTTTATGGAGCTTGAACTGCCTTTGTACCTATTACTGCCTGAGGGCACAAACATTTTGGCATAGAGGATGCCTCTGCCTGAGGTCCAACTACTTTGTCTCAGTCTCTGCATCTGATTCCCAATGGTCTGTCTCTGTCACTTCTGTTTCTCCCTCTGCTAGTCTCGGTTTTCTGTGTTGGTCTGTTTGATCGTCTTCTTTCCTTAAACCGCCTCACTTCAGTTTTCTTTCTGCCGAACCCTTGTCTGTTTGATAAACGTTAACTCCCCAAAACAAGCATCCCTCTAACACAGTCTCTCTTAAACACAACCAGAAACAGACAAGCCCAAACACATCCATCACATTAAAATCAAGCATAAAAACACAGATGCACTGAGAATGTGGCTGCTATAAATCTTGTACTTGACATGTCTCTTACAGCAGCTAAACAGCATCTCCTACAGGCTCATAATAAAACTGAAAATCCTGCAACTGTCAAGACAATCTTACTACTAGTCTTTTCATGTTCTAAACATTTGGCTTGAAAAAAAAGAGAAATAGAAAAAGGGAACATGACGAAGTCGGGGCAGAACACAAGAAGAGAAAGAAGGCAGAAAACTACTAAAGGAGCAAAGTATAACAGACACAGTTCAGGTTTTCTTTACTTGTTGACCTAAAGTCACCTTGAATTCAGGTGAATACAAATACTGCATCAAAAGCAGAGGGCACAAAGTCAGAATAGTATAGGAAACAACAAGTAATTTTTCTTTTAATGCAGTAAAGATGTTAAGCTGAGTCTGGTAACAAAACAACTGATAAACACCTAAAACCGTGGACTTACATCCTGGAAAAGCGGCCTGTCCTGCGGCAGACGCTTGGATGCGAGGGTTTTGGTGACGTGATAGAAGGTCAGCAACGCTCGGTGCTGCTGCAGGCCATCCTGACCCTTCACAGACTCCAGCAGAATGGGGATGAGCTCTGGCCATTGCCTGGGGCAGTCCAGGCGGGCCACCTTGGCTATCAGTACTGCAATCTGGGTCGCTATCTATTGGAATAACAGAGAAAAAAAACAATGACCAGTGGCAAAACATAAAAACAAAGTGGTTACACCAAAGAAAACTTGATAGGTGTTTCACTAAATCTGGAGCTTTCTGAACAGAACATAATTCCATTTTAAACCCTGTCTAAAGTGACTACTTTGGACAAATAAGACAAAATATAAAGCTATGCATAATATAATGAACATCTCTCTCCTGTTACGTACATAGATTAATGCTTTTCCAAACAGTGCTTCTACAGGCATGTTACATGGTTATACCCTTTAATATTATGACCATGTCTGAAATGTGTGTCATGTGATCTTGTCACAGTTTCACATACCAAATATTTGGCTTTTCAGTTAAATAGTAAATGTGGTACTAGCATAAACATCCAAATGTATCAGCAGATGTAGTTTATCCAAAATAAAATAGAGTTATGGTTTTATTTATTCACTTTCAGCTCTTTTGATCTTGCCATTTTACAGTACTGCCCACAATCAGTTATAGAGAGAATAATAATCTGTTGCACTCTGTGGAATACATACTATATGACTTCTAAACACATTAACATGTTAATTAATAATCACTGATCATGCAACTTTTGTTTTCAAGTATCAGTAAGTCAGTCTTTTCTAAGAAAGCCAGACAACACTAGCACACCAACACTTACATGCACAAACTCTTCTAGAGCTTTGATTCGATCAAGAGAGGTTGAGACTACTGAGACATATGGCGTTTAAATGGCATTCACTGCTTGCCATATGGACCCCGTCAGTCCTGATGTTGGAGGACTGTGCCTCAGAGACTAGCTGTAGAAATCAGAAAGGATGGCCACCTTCCATGTCTCCTCACACAGATGTACTGCACACATGATTCTGTTATTATTTGTTTACTGCCACATTCTGCTGGGAGATGTAAAGAAAATGACTTCTCAAAAATGTTCTTGATTTTCTACAGGAACATAAGTGTGTCTAGAGTGCATTTATTACCATAATCACTAACTGCCTCCCCTTGGGACTGATGAAAGTACAGTGGATTTGCCTACATTACTGCATTTTCATCAAGGTAAAAATGAAATCTGCAAACTTAACTTACTTCTCTGTCTGTGATCAGATCAGTTTGTTTAGATGGAATAGCTGGTCTGATCTAACCAAGTCTTGATGTCATCACAACAATTTTGGTGTCAACAGGTGGTTAAAATACATTGGCAGGGTGATGTACATCACTTCAGCAGAGAGAACAACGAAGATTATGAAGGTTCTTGTTTCACTTCATTCCCAGGAGGCAATGGAGGAACAAAACTGCTTCAAAGTCTTTTCTTCACGGTCTAGTACTACCAAAATATTTGTGATGGGCCAACCCACATTTTTTCAGTTCCAATACAAATTCCAATACCAGAGCTCTTTCAATGAAATAAAACAATACTGATAAACTAAATACTGAATATGAGTAACAGGGTTGCAGTGCTATGGTGTAAATCTGGTGATTTACACGATACCATGGTATGAAAATTGATGGTTATGATACCTTGGCCACTGATTTTATTACTGGTATTGAAGAATAACATATGCATATACTTTAGAGATCTGAAAGAAGAACACCATCCCTCCAGACAGGTCAAAGTGTGTGTCCCGTTTACAACTTTAATCCCAAACAAACATCAGTTATAAAATGTACTACTGACATAATTTTCCACATTCTAGTGCTCATTATGATTGCCAGCCAATGTCAAGCACATTTAAAGCTGTTGTATACAGCAATGCAATTATTACAGTATAATACAAAAATCATTAAAAAAAACACTTAACTACATGTGAAATGGACTATAAAATGCCACAAAGCACTGGGATGCTTCAAGTCAATTTCCTTGCACATTATATGGTTTTACACAGAGCAGTTTGAGTTTTATTTTATCAGTATAAGATGCTCAAACTGAAAGGTATTTTTTTATTACTGTACATATAATTTCTTTACCTACTAACCTGATTGACAGGCTCATTGAAGTTTGTGATGAGACCAGCACGCAATGACATCTTCTCTTCTTCTGATAACGCACTGTGAACAAACCAAACAAAAAGATGATAAGAGGATGGACTTTAAAATAAGTCAATTCCAACTTAAACAGCCAAACAGATAAACAAAAAAACCAAAGATCAGTAAGTGTGTAAAAAGGATGATGCCCCTCAGTAACCCCATTTATCCAAACTGATTCCAGAATGAGCTTTAATTTGACATTATGAATGCTAATAATTAGTGCTATGTCTTTACTCATGCACATCATGGAGCAAGTTTATTGACTCAAATTTTTAATAGAGCCAACTTCTAGGCCAAACCGGGACCTTCTTGCTGAAGGCGAGAGTGCGCAGGACCTGCCAGCTACCTAATTTAATCAGCAAGCTTTGGATAAACCCGCTGTTCTCCTCCAAGTCACAAGCTATACGGAGAAGGGGGTGTGTCCCAATGACTAACGATATGAATCAGTGCAAATGTACAATGTTTCAACATAATTTACAGTACTGTCTGTTTCAACTGCTGAAGCTCAACAAAGTGGGAGAGTTTTAGGCGCGAAGAAGAGTAAGGAATGAATCATGTTGTAACCTTGGGCAGAGAGGGAGGAAATATGGATGGAAGCCAAAGTACTAGAGGATAGAGTGTGAATTAGTGAAACAAGATATTTACTACGCACATATATTTGGGGAATCTGGGAGTTAGGCAAGCTTTAAATATTGGACATTAAAAGATATATGAACATAAACAAGTGTAGGCCTGAGCCTTATTTGGTATTTATAAAGTTTAGGGAGCCAGAGAAGGAACAAAAACAACCCACAGAGTGGAGATAGCCAGAAAAAAAAAATCTTCCAATTTAGGTGAGGTAGTTTTTAGTTTCTACAGTGGAACAGTTTGCCTGAATATCTTAAAACAATTGAAAGTGCCATCTCTAAAAATAAACCTACCTCATAGCTTGACTTTGGAATTGCTTCATTCAATAATTTACATCCATGTTTTAAATAGTTTTATGTTCTCATTATATTGACATCTTTCATCTAATTCACTGGATTTTTGTTTGTTCTTATCTGCCTTAGTGGTCTCAACATTGCCTTTTTATTTCTCATGTATTAGTACATTTGTTTTAATGTTTACATTTGTACTGATGTGGTATCAACTTGTCATTTTTGTGAATGGTACTAACCTGTATGCAATGTGCTATACAAATAGGATTGACTGATACTGCTGAAATAGTTGAAGTGAATTAGAATTCAAATAAATTCAAGCCTCGTAATTCCTACCTAACAGACAAGGAGCAGGTCTGGGTACACTCCCTGGTTACCACTGACAAAAAAGAATGAGATGGGTTTTTCAAGGTATGAGAGTAATGACCCCTCGTTGAACCGCCACCTTATTGTGGTGGAGGGGTTTGAGTACCCGAATGATCCTAGGAGCTATGTTGTTGGGGGATATATGTCCCTGGGAGGGTCTCCCAAGGCAAACAGGTCCTGGGTGACAAGTCAGACTAAGAGCG